GCTAATTTCGTACCTTTCCAGCAACCTCTGTTTAGTGAAGCATGAATTATGTGGCTTAGTCTCTCTATACAAAGCACAAAGATTAAGGGTGACATAGAATCTCCCTAGCGAATTCCCCTTCCCGGTTTGAACCATTCGGATTTGTGGCCATCCCATAGAATCGACATCTTTGTTGATGATATGCACTCCATAATACGCCTTGTCCATTTGTTGCTAAAACCAATGTCTTGGAGGGTATCATTGATGAAAGCCCATGAAAGTTTGTCATATGCTTTTTCGAAGTCAATTTTCATCATCATCCAACCTTTGCTCCCTTTCTTACTCTTCATTGAGTTAAGAGCTTCTTGATAGACAAGTATATTGTCTGAAATTTGTCTTCCTGGTACAAAACTGGTTTGGTGCGGGCCTATCAACTTACCTGAGATCACTTTAAGCCTCACAGATATGATTTTGGTTATGAGTTTGTAAGACACATTGTAGAGGCTAATTGGACGGAACTGTTTAATATTGCTCGGGTTAGGGACTTTTGGTATAAGAGAAATCAGAGTGTCATTACATTTTGGTGGCAGTATACCATCGTCAAAGAACTTGCTCACATAATTGAACAAGCTGTCTCCTACAATACCCCAGGTTTTCTGGTAAAAGCTGGCCGAAATTCCGTCCGGACCGGGGGCTTTGCACGGTGCCATCTCGAATAAGTTTGCTTTGACTTCATCCTTGGAAAGGGGCAGGTCGATACCAGTCCATTCCACTTCACTTAATACCGGAAAACAGCCCAGTTGTATGGATTGAGCATTCCCCCCTATTTCCACCGAGAATAGCTCTACGAAGTAGCTGCGAACATGTTCTAGGATTTTACTCTGTTTCGTAAAGATCTGGCCATTCTCATCAGTTAAACTTGTTACCCTTGCATTATTTCTTTTGACTGACGTCGCAGTGTGATAGAATCGAGTATTTCTATCACCCGATGTTACCCATTCCTCTCTAGATCGTTGGAACCAAATCAACTCCTCTTAATAGAGTGTATTATCCAGTTCCTTCCGCAGCTTTCTATCTAGTCTAATTAAACCAGACCTTGCATTCAGCGAGATCTTCCGTTGAATACCCTCAATCCTTGCAAGCAAACTTTTTTTCCTTTGGAATACATCTCCGAATGTGTCCTTGTTCCATCTGGGCAAAACCTCCGCCATCCTTCTTTTATTTTCATCTAGATCAGTAGCGCAGTTCCAGTTTGCTTTCACCACCGAGAAGAAAGAAGGGTGGGATGCCCATGCCAGGTTGAACCTAAAAGATCTTGGCTTATTATTCACCTGACTTCCTGCAGTGTTAAGGAGAAGAGGGGAGTGGTCTGAACCTACAATTGGCAAATGATGAACACTAGCATTTGGAAACCTTAGTCTCCAATAAACATTGCTTAGTGCCCTGTCCAATCATGCTCCTTTGAAAGACTCCGAGTTGAGGCCTCTCATCCATGTATATCTTGGTCCCGTGTAGCCTAGATCTATCAGACCCTCGTTGAATATCCACTCATTAAAGTCAGAGCTTCTGGAATAGTTGAAGGTCTCCGTGTTGCTAACCTCTTCCCGACATGTAACCGCATTAAAATCACCAATTATTGCCCAGGGCCACTGAGGATTTAGAACGCTGCCCGGGAGATCTAAGAAGAGACGCCTTCTCAAGTACTGATTGGGGCTTCCGTAAACTATGGAAAGGAACCAAAAATCCAAGCCTTGGTCCCTCACCTGTATTGATATGAATTGAGGGTGGGTACTAATTACCTCCACGCTTAACACCTTTTTCCATAGTAACCATATACCACCAGAGTAGCCTACCGCTTCTACCCGGATCCAATCATCAAACTCGAAACTTGAACAAACCTTGTTAGCTTGGTTTCCCGATATCTTGGGCTCCAAAAGACAAATAACAGATGGGTTATAGATACACAAGAGCTGTTTCAGAGTGCTTCTAAATGAGTTAGACGCTGCACCCTGACAGTTCCAAACAAGAGCTATCATTAAGATAGTGGAGGGGCAATAGGCGCACCTTGGCGCTGCCGGTTTACGGCGATGCAATCAGGCTGCTCAGAATCATCCAACATAATGGTGTCTGGGGGGTCACCCATTTCAAGGTTGCCCCGACCAGAATCTGGGGGATTGTGCACATGATCTTTCTCCACCCCAATCATGGGGTCAGGAGGATTATGTCTGTAGTCTTTTTCCAAAGGAGTCAAAGGATTAGGGGAAACCTGTCTTTGTTGTTCATCCGTTGTGGTATGAGGCGAGAATCCCAGATGATCCTCGTTATGAAATACTACTCTGCTTCTAATATTCCTTCCTCCGTTTGACCCACGAACGACGGTGTGCTCTCTTTCCGCTGCGGCTCTATTGGGAGTTCCTCCCCTTCCACCTCGTCCACGAAACCCTCCACGGCCTACGTAATGGTAATGTTGCTGCGCAGCACTCTGCTCAGCAGTCTCTTGGTTAAGCTGGACTGTAATTGGTTCCTTCTGGGGTCGAGGTTTTCGATAGTTGGTTCAGATCTGTGGTAGCTCGACAGAGTGCTATTGCAGTGTAGGCAATTCCGATTGTGGAATCTGTCCCTGGGCGTTTGCCTCCTCCTCAAGTCTATCCAACGCATCGAACATGGTCTGCTCCACCAAAATACCACCCGTATGACCTTCATTCAGAGAATTCGCTCTATGAGTTGTTCTGGCCGGAAGATTCGTCTGTTTATTTGACTGCCTGGCATTGTTCCTTCTGTCTCTTCTTGTGACCAACATCCAAGTTCCATATCTCTCAGCAGGCATCAGATTGGTTTTGGCAGGTATTTATGGTACTCCATTCTACTCTTGCGTATTACTAGCTCCACATCCAGTACAATTCTCCTGGCGATGGCCATAAACACCGCATTTGAAGCACACCAAGTGGATGCCCTCATATTCAATAGGCCATTCGACATCATCAAGGACAAATCTCGATAAAAGGGGTTTCGTAATATCAAACTCAATGCACACCCTTGCAAACTTTCCCTTGGAGGCGGTGCTAGTCGTGTCGGTCTTGATGGGGCGACCAATTGTCTTCCCGATTTTCTTGAGGAATCGTTTGTCGAAATATTCAATTGGGAGTGAAGGGAAGCGAATCCACGCTAATAGTTTCTCCATCTTGCTGATTCTTGTATCAAAATTAGGTCGCCATTGTTGAACGGTCAGATAGTGGTCGAACACCATCTAAGGTCCACCGAATTTAGCCGCTTCGTAGTCCCTAATCGATTCGAACTTGGCCAAATAAAAGTCGTTGTTCAGTGCTATTAACTCAAATGGAGCCTCTGATCGCCACATGCGCTGAAGCCTTTGTAGCAGAAAGGAGTAACCTACAGTTCTGCCCAATAAGCGGATGATTAGAGAACGGTGCCAAGGCCGCCTCAATCTTTCTTTCTCTTCTTTAGAGACATGGATGGCCGGATATCCATTTCTGGTTTCAATTTCTTCCATTTCATCGTCTTCCGAATCCTCCTCTTCTTCCAGCAGTTGTTTGCCTTCGCGCCTATTCCAGGCTTCACTTGGAGTTGCCGCCGGTGTTCTCCACTGGCCGGAATCCGGGGTACCAACACCCCCTGTGTTCTCAACGGGCTTGTCAAGCCTTGGTGCCGAGGCCCCTTCTAGCATATCGCGTCCTCTTTTGGTTTTCTTGGTACTTCTTTCAAGGAGATCTTGCTCCTCCGGCGACCTATTGGCTACCGTCGGTGGCGGAATAAACGAGAGGGAGTCAGAAGCCATACCCTTTCAAATTAAAATCTATTTAGCGTAAACTTTTTCGACTACACGTTATTTGAAAGCACCAAAAAAGGCATCTAATTTTTTAATTGTACTAAAGAGTTATTGTTCTTATCTGCTCTAAAGTTATTAATATAAGTATGCTTTTATTCCTAAATAGTTTATTTAATTCACTTAATGTAAATAATTTTACCTTTTATATTTATTTTAAAAAATTTGCAATTCATAAATACAAGAACAAATAAAATCTGAAATACTCAAACATTCCATCCATCCAATTATATATAGTAAATATAAATAAAATGCATCAAAAATCTAATTAGCTATCTAGCTAACTCATCTAGCACATTTTTTTTTTATTTCAGCATTACTTAACTTACATAAATTGATATTATGTATGCTATAAGTTATAGCAAAAAAAAATTCTATATAAATACGTAAGATAAAGAAAATAGGTTACGACGTCGGTTAGATGACGAACCGACATCGTAGCCTAAATTTAAAAGAAAAACACGTATACTATATGGCGTCGGTTATACCACAATCGACGTCGTATTAGTATTATTTTTTAAAAATATATAGGTTACGATGTTGGTTCATTAAAACGTCGAATCCTTCCTTTAAGGAACCGACATCATAACCTAAATTTTTTTAAAAAAAATTAAAAATACTATACGATGTCGGTTATACAAACAATAGACGTTGTATAGTTTGATGATGTTAATTTTGTTATTTATTTAAAATGAATTATGACGTTGATTTTTACAAAAACAACGACGTTAAAAGTCTTTTAAAAAAATTATAAATCTATTTAATATTTTGACGTCGGTTTTGTATTCAACCGATGTTATATATGCGACGTTGTAGGTGATTTTTGTATTAATGTTAATTATCATGACTTGTAATTTTGTGTCTCAATTAGTCACAAAAGTGACTATTTTTGTCTTTCTCGTTTATAAAAATTACACTTTTGGTTTCTAATATATTTCAAAACCACAAATTAAATCATTTCCAGAACTAATTAAGAATCAAATTTATAAATTATGATAATTAAGAACTACACTTGCACTTCTCCTATAATTTAGGGACTAAAATTGCAATTATGACAAGAAAGAAAGAAGCTAGGCAACTGCCGCGAATTTAAAAATCATGTTTATTTAAACTCTGGTGTTGACCAACGAATTCCGGTTTACATTGTATCAGATCGATCTATGCAATTCTTCTGAGTTCAATTCTGCTCTGATCGACAGAAAGACACAAATTAAATGGCTTACGCTGCTGTAACTTCGCTTATGGAAACACTTTCTCTACATTTCTTGCAATCACAATCACGCTTCCCTCTTGAAGATTTAGAGGCACAGATTAGAGATGGCAATGAAAATCTTGGCTTGCTACAGAAAATTCTTAAGAAATCCCAGATTGCCAATTATGATTTGGGGGCGATGAATGATTATTACCCCAAGAAGAAGAAGTTGATTAAAATTGAAAGGCCGCAGCTGCTTGAAGAAGATTTAGAGGCGGCACGGATGCGTGATGACATCCATTTAGAGCTAGAAATTCTTGAGGCTTGGAGCAGAGAGAGAGAGGTGGACGAAGAAGCGTCATCAAAGGGTTGGACGAAGCTCCTTCTTCGTATGAAGGCTTTCCTCCGCAGGCTTTATGGAAAGCAGCAGTTTGCTTGGGATAGTATACTTTTGACTTCTCGGCTCAGGGAGATGACTGAAGTCAAACAAAAGATAGTTTCTCTCCATCAAAATCTGGGCTTGCTGCAACAAAGTCTTGAGAAATCTGAGATCCCCTATGATGATGCGAGGGTGAGGGTGAAGAAAGATTTAGAGGCGCAGATCAGAGATGCATCGTTCAAAGCGGAAGAAAGGATTGAGATGGAGTTGAGTTCCATTTATGTAGCAAAGGATAGTCTTCATGTAACAGCTTGCCTGCTCAGGCTTCATCAAATCTTCAACGAAGCAGAAAAACAGACTGATTACCACAGGAATGAGTTGATTAGGTTTCAAACTGAATACCAGCAGCTTGCAAAGACAGCTTCATCAAAAAACCAAAGACTCACTGATGTTTCACTCCTTGGTCGGATCCGACAAAGAGGACTACAGCTTGTCAAAGGATCATCACTGCATCATTTAGTACACAAGCAAATTATTGTGAGAAACTTTTCCAAAAACACTTCAAAGTTTGACGATAGAATGGTCGGATGCGAGAAGCTATTCGAGAAGATATTGGATCAGCTGCTCACGCAACAAACAACTAAGGGGAGACAAGTTGTTTCAATTGTTGGCATGGGAGGAATAGGCAAGACCACTTTAGCACACAAACTTTATGAACATCCATCAATTACTTCTCATTTCGACAAGCAAGCATGGGTTACTGTATCCCAAGAGTATAACATAGAACAAATGCTCAAATGTCTTCTTAGTTGTGTTACTGCAGCATCAAGAGATCGCCAAGACCAATTAGCAGAAAGTGTGTATAAAAGTTTGAAGAGTCAAAGATATTTGATAGTGATTGATGATATATGGAATACTACTGTTTGGGATAGTGTGCAAAGATGCTTTCCAAATGATAATAATGGAAGCTGCATACTATTGACTTCTCGACTCAGAGAGGTGGCAGAATATGCTAGCTCAGGTAACTCTCCTCTTGACATGCCTTTCTTAGATGCCGATGAAAGTTGGAATCTCTACTGCAATGTTTTTGGTAAAACTGAATTCCTTCTTGTGTTTGAGCAAATTGGTAGAGACATAGTGAAGAAATGTGATGGATTACCACTAGCTATTACTATAGTAGCTAGTCTTCTCTCCAAGATAGAAGAGGAGGAGGAAAAGTGGAAGAATGTTGCAAAGAGTGTAATGGGTGATTCTAGTGATGCATGTTCCAGAATACTATATTTGAGTTACAATCACTTACCACAGCACTTAAAAGCCTGTTTTCTATATTTTGGAATTTTTGAAGAAGACTATGAGATCTCTGTGAAGAAGTTGGTTAGGTTGTGGGCGGCAGAGGGATTTTTGAGCACTGTGAAGCAAGTGAATTTGGAGAATATGGCTATGGAATGCTTGAAAGATCTTGTTGATAGAAGTCTTGTTATAGTTAGCAAACATAGCTACAATGGGGAAATGAAGAAAATAATGATCCATGATCTGTTGCGAGATTTGTGCTTGAGAGAAGCTAGACTTGAAAATCTCTTGAATGTCAATGGAGGTAAAAAACCTTGTCGTTGGATAAGTCATACATCAAGATCTTTCTATAATAAAGTCAGGTTTGAAGAAGATGAGTGCTTTCACAAATCTCATTCCTTTCACTTATTTTATGTTTACTATTCTTGGGATGGAAATGTGAAACGTCTATTTTCACACATGAATCTACTAAGAGTACTAGACATGAGAAACAGAATTTGGGAAGGAGTTATAGACCTAAATGTGCTTGCAAATCTTGTTCATTTGAGATACTTAGCTTTGTCCACGTATAAGTGTTCTGAGATAAAGCTCTTTGAGCATTGGAATATGCAAAGTTTGATTGTTAGTGGAGATGGTTCTATATTGCATTCCTCTGAGCCATCTAGAATTTGGAAAATGCCACAATTAAGGAATTTTTGCATTGAAAGAATTTGTTCATTAGAAACTCCGTCGGTTGTTTATAGAGACTTAGAGAATATATGTTGGTTGGATTCTAAGTTATGTACTAAGGATTTGTTTACAATGATTCCAAATTTAAAAACACTGGGGGTTGATGGTAGATGCCATGATAATAGTCTAGATTGTTTTAATAATTTTGTCCACTTGGAGCAGCTTGAGAAACTAAGCATCAGATGGTGGATGAATCTCAACCTTGTTATGTGTAGCATCCCATGGGCAACTAGTTTACCAAATCTTAAGAAGCTCAGCTTGATGAAGTGTAATATGCAGTGGAGTGAGCTGAGCGCTATTAGTATGTTGCCCAATCTGGAGGTTCTAAAATTGATAGATGCTTGTGAAGGCCCAATGTGGGAGACATGTGATGGAGGGTTCCCTCGATTGAAGAGGTTGGTAATTGAAAAAACATTTTTGCAATGTTGGAATGCTGTGGGTGATCATTTCCCTATGCTCGAATGTTTAGAGATAAATGAGTGCTTTTTTTTGAAAGAAATTCCTCGTGGTTTTGCCGATATCAACACACTAGCATTGATTCGGTTAAGGGATTGTGGGGCTTCCCTTGTGACTTCTGCAGAGTGGATTCAAGAAGAGCAAAACAACTATGGAAATGATGTCCTCCTTGTTCCTTATTATTACTAAAATATTAAGGTCTTTTTCTATCCCTCTAGTATATCTCTCAACATTTAACATGCACTTCATGCTACTTGAATTTTTGATGGCTGATGGTTGCAATGGATAATCATCAATCTGATATGTTTTCTCTCACTTCTATCTCTTTTTAAATTTTTCTATTTTATATTTCCTTACCTATCTAACTATTGTGTGTTCACCTTTTCTTTTTACTCAATTTTTTGTTTCCAGACTTCATGGTTTGAGGAGGAACAGAGGTATGTTGTATGAGCACATATAACTAGTGTTTATTTCTGTGTTTTTTTGCTTTTTTTTTTTTGCCTGAAATTAAAGAAAAATGGATTAATTAAGCTTATTGCTTTCCCTTTTTGGAAATATATATAGGAAGTCCTGGAGAAATTGTTGGAAGAAATGACAAATTGAGAATGTGCATAGTGGGTAGCTGAAATGGTCTGTGCGGGCAATTTGTTCTCAGAAATCTGATGGATGGTGCTGCCATTGCATGCGGAAAGAATTTTTATTCACTCATTTAAAGTCTCAGAAATCTGTTTTGATTCTTAAGTGAAGTTTGTTTGTACAGATTTTGGTGCTGAGGAATTAGTTTGTAGATATGATGGTTGCAATATTGCTGCTCTGCACTGTAATGAATAGTCATTATCTGTTTAATTTTTCTCTATCTGTATATCTGCTTTTATATATATATATATATATATATATATATATATATATATATATATATATATATATAGATAAAAGTTTAAATGCGGTCGCGCCTTCGCGTGCGACCGTGTGACCGTTTTGACAAAATACATCAACAGTGTTAACAAAAGACATTAATATTGTTAGGAAGAGCACAACAAAGAATTGCACAAATATACCAAAAAACATACAAACACACCCAAAAAAATTCAGCACATATATATATATATATATATATATATATATATATATATACACAACACTGTGTGGTGCTTTTATTCTAACCTAATAGTGCATTTTTGGTGATGCGTACCTAATTTGTGCATTATTTTTATTGTGCATTTCCTAACATGAATGGCGTATATTCGTATAACTATTGGTGCGGCCGCACTGACCGCACGAAAAGGCCCGGCCCTGTATGAACTCAACTATATATATATATATATATATATATATATATATATATATGCTAAACCAACCAAGCATTTGACTATATATTTCTTTTCAACTCCTTAACCAACCAAACATTTAAATAATTTGTTTGACTTAGGAATACGAAACCATATAATTTGTAAAAAGCATTTCCAATATTTTTTCCTTTTTAAAAGGAATTAGAAAATAATTTTCCACTCAGTTGAGAAATGTATTTCTCATATGCCCAAATTAAACATAATGGAGTTTGGACTATTTTTGTGTAATATTTGATAAGTGTCTATTTCAGTTAATGTTCCAATGCAGTTATGGTTGATGCACACAGTACAGATAAGTAATAGTATGAGTAAGGAGAGATATGTGTGCAAAAGGCCAACAGAGAATTGAAGCCCCTATGCAGATTCAAAAATATCTAGTACTACCACAGCGTAACGAAAAAGATTAATCATAATAGAAAATCATAGTCTAGTTGATCAGTTTATTGACATGGTAACCACAAGGTTACAAGTTTCGATCCTAATGTGAGCAGCCTATTTGCTTTCTTGGTTTGAGCCAATTAGCTATGGACAACTTAAGTTAGTTTACTTCATTAGTTTAATTCATTATGCTCCTTTACTGGTTAGGATCACAAGGTGGGATTACCTAATGCACACACTGGGATAGTGGTTACACGTTTTTCTAGCCACCAAAAAAAAAAAAAAAATCATACTATTATATATTATGTGTTTTGGTGATTGGAAATCTGATGGATGCTGGCTGCCATAGCATATATTGTAGTTTGCAGTATGCAAGAAGGGTCAGACCATTGGAATATATGCATTCTCATCACCATCTTCTTTTCTTCTTCTTCTT